GTATTCTGTGTTGTTGTTGGCGGAGCTCTGTACTACACGTCCACCCGATCCGCCATCTTGTTTGTTCTTGTTTGTTGTTTTTCCTTTTTAATAAGTTGAATTAGGGTATATCCTCACTCACAGTGCCGGTACGAGCTCTTGGAGATGATTGTGAGGGTAGTTTATGGGCTTCAGGCAGAAATTTGCAAGATGTTACCTCTGAATTTTTGGGAACCTTTGGAGTGAAGGTTTGCTGCTCTAAGTATTAATTTCTCGACAGAAAGTGGAGATCCTAGATCTATTGTTGCTAATCAATTTAAATGAGACAAACATCTTTAATGTACTGGTAAAGATAGCTGTGGTGCTATAGGATAAGCACTAGACTGCTAACTGAGTGATCAGTGGTTTAAACCCATCAGCCACTCCTTGGAACCCCTGTGCAGAGTCCCTTTGAGTTGGAACTGACTCAATGACACTTAACAATAAGCAAGGTAGATGACTCCTGGCGTGGCGCTGTAGGATCAGCACTGGACTGCTAACCACAAAGTCAGTGGTTCAAACCCACCAGCTGCTCCTTGGAAACCCTATTCAGCGGTGCTATGAGTCCGAATCCATTAGACGGCACTTAACAACAACAACGTGAGGTGAGAATGTGGATGATATATGTAAGGGAGTGCAAGATATCACAGTTCTCAGGACAGTGTGATAATCATGCCGTTTCTGATCTCATTTTGTCCAGAAGTAACCCTGCACAACAATGCTGCCACCATTGTTTAGTGGGAAACGGGGCTGTCTTTTCAACAAATGGTACTAGGACATCTGGATACTTGTTTGAAGAAAATGAATTTGACCTTGGTGGTGGTTGGTGGTTATGTGCTGTGAAGTTGTTTCTGACTCAGCAACCCTGTATAGGGTTTTTGAGGCTGTAAATATTTATGAGACCAGAAAGCCTTGTCTTTTTCTCATGGAGCAGCTGGTAGATTTGAACTGTTGAATTTGTAGTTAGTGGCCCAACTCATAACCCACTGTGCTTGCTACCAGAGCTGCTTGAACTTGCCCTTACTTAATAATAGTTTAAATTTCCACTCTATCTTTTTCATTTCTAATGTTTATTTTTGTCTTTTCTCTCTATTTTAAAAATTGCTCCATCTTGGTATAGATTTGTCTGTTTTATTTGGGTTTTCAAGGAAACATCTTTTGTTTCTGTTGATTTCTGGTGTTTCTCTGTTTTCTCTTTCATTCACGTGGGTCCGTTATTACCTTCCTTCTTTAGTGTTTGGATTCACTATATTGTTACACTTCTTGTGTTGTACTCTTGACTCTTGTTTTTTAATTTTTCTTCTTTATCAGATTATCATATGAGTCTCTAAATTTCACCTTTGAAGTATAAATGTAGCTGCATTATGCAACTTTTTTATTTTCATTAATAGTTCCAAATTCTTTCTAATGCTATAACATAACCAAAAGCAAAGCCAAACCCCTTGCCACCAAGTCATAGCAAACCCTACAGGACAGGGTACACCTGCCCCAGAAGGTTTTGAAGCCTGAAATCTTTATAGAAGCAGACTGCCACATCTTTCTCCATGGAACACCTGGTGGATTTGAACCACTGATCTTACAGGTAGCAGCTACCAGGGCTCTTTCTATAACTTCAGGAAGTGTTTTAATTTTGTAGTTTATATTTAATTATACGGCTCAGTTAATGTGGTCTGTAAGGTATTGAAGATACTGCTACTTTGATAGTTGCTGCAACTCTGTTTATGGCTTAAATTGTGATCACATTTTGTTATTGTTCTGTTTGTTCTAGAGACAGATGTGTGTGTGCTCTGTCTGTATTTGCTGAGACTTGATGTGTATACCAAGTCATGTCTGTTTTCTTGGGGGGGCTAAGTGTGTGGTCTCTAATTCTTAGGGACCTAGTTTTATAAATATCCATTATATCAAGTTTATTACTGTTTAAATATTGAACATGCTTACAACTTTTTTGCCAGCTTTAAAATCTATAACTGAGATAATAGTAGATTTGCAATTCTACTAGTGTTCTCATAATATATTTTGAGGCTTTCTTGTTATATTTGTACAAGTTAAAATGTGTTGTTACCTTCCTCATGACCATGTGCAAAAACCATGTGGGGGCCATGTCTGACTTGGCTTCACAGGGGGAAAGAGACTCAAACTCAAAACTAGCCTAAGGCAGATTGCTAAGAAGTGGAGGTTAGACTCTATCCTACAACAGTCTTTACCCCATTCTGACACCACCCATCCCTCCCACAGACTCTTTGCTTCACATCTGGGTTCAATAATCCATTGCAGTGGCTACACAGAACTCATAATAATACTCATGATTATGGGGTTTATCAGGGAAGTGAGCAGGACACAATTCTGGATCAAAAAACAACTCAGGACGCAGCTGTTTTCCAATCAAGAACACCTCTGCCTTACTACGGGCACATCTCGCTCTTGTCTTCTGCCTCTTAGCCAAGTGGCCCCTTGGCCTTTGCCCTACTCAGACAAGTCTGTGAATGCCCAAAGGGACGTTCTTCAAGCCAGCCTCCTGCTCAGTTCGGTCCATGGACCTAGGAGCCCACAGCTGCTCTCTCGCTCTCTCTATGCTGCAGCTTCGGCTGCTGCCGTCTCTGCTCCGTCCTTTCCTAGGAGGGGATCTCATGCTCTTCTTTCTTGATGGTCCTGGGATCATCTGTTTCTGCTTCTGAGATGACTCCTTGTAAACCTAGTGGGATGGCAAAACTAACCAGTCCTGGTGTTAGAGTCCCACACACCCTGTTTGTATGCTCCCACCCAATCTCTGGGAGTCCGGGTATGGCAGTTAGATAAGCACTAGACCACAAGATTGGTTTGAACCTCAAGGCCAGTTGTTCAAATCTACCAGCCGCTCTTCAGAAACCCTAAGTTATTATTGTTAAATGCCACTGAGTCGGTTCTGAGCCTATATTGGGTTCCCGAGGAGTAGCTGGTAGGTCACTGACCTTGTGGTTCAAACTGACCTCTGCATCCAGTGCTTATCCTACAGCGCCACACCAGGACTCCGATACAGGGTTGCTATGAGTTGAAACTGACTTGACAGCACTTAACAACAAGCCAATCATTTAGTGGAAATTAGCAGACTTTGGATAGAAATCAGTAAATATAAGATACCACACTATGTCTTATCAATGAGCTGTAACCCTTTTTAGAGTCCTGGTGTGGCACTACAGGATAATGTGTGTTGGACTGTAAGGTCAGTTTGAACCGCAAGGTCAGTGTTTCAAACCCACCAGCCACCCCCCACAAACCCTAACCCTATACAGGGTCCCTATGGGTCAGAACCGCTTCAGTGGCGCTTAACAGCAATAGACAACAAAAATAACCCTTTTTTTATTTATTCCTAAAAACTTTATACCTTAAAGTCTATTTTGGCATTTCCAATAATATCACAACACCAGGTTTCCTTTAGTGTTTGCCTGATAGATCCTTTTCTGATCCTTTATTTTCAGTGTTTGGCTCATGTTTCAGGTCTATCTTTTAAACGGCAGGGATCTTTGTTTTTTGTAATTCATTTGAGTCTCTTTAACCAGCAAGTTTATACTGTTTACAGTTACTAGGATCCCTGATAAATTTGGGTGTGTTTGTATGACATCTTATATTGTGCTTTCTGTTTGCCATGCTTTTTCTCTTTTTTTTCCCTGTATTGTGTGGGATTAATCAAGTTTTCTCCCTTCCTGTTTTTCTTTTCTACATTTGTAGGTTCTATAATTCTTGTGCTATGTAATAAAAGTGATTACCTTTATATTTTTAGAATGTATGCTTGGTTTTCAAAGTCTTAAAATTAATCACCTTCTCTGCATCCAGGATATTTTGGGAGGGATAATCCTTTGCGGCAGGGGCTTTCCTGTGCACTGTCGGGTGTTTAATCGCATCCTTGGCCTCTACCCACTAGATGCCAATACCACTCCCACCCTCCTAGTCATGATAATCCCGACATTGCCAGAAGCCCCTTGGTGCAAAAGTCTCCGCAAGTTGACATCTGTTGGCTGTAACAATATTAGGACTTCTGCTGGATGTGATATATTTGACTTTCCCCCTACAGATTTTAACACTGAGGAGGAACTACTGTCTCACTTACAAGAAAATTATCAACAGACTGTGGCCACTGGAGAAATACCATTGTGTTCATGTGCTCAGAACATGATCGCAGCATTTAAAGCATTCTTAAAATCCAAAGGCACCAAGGAATTAGAAGTAAGAGAGCTGAGCTGTTGTTTATTGTAGATGTCATCAGTGGGTTTGGTTTGTATGTCTCAGAAGATGTCTGTTATGAAGTACATGATTTTAACATGATGAGAAGGGGACAAGCACAATTGCAGATCTTGGAAGTAGGAGATGAGGCAGAAATCAAGGAAAAGGTTTGAGAGGGGAGGTTATTACATATATTGCCTTTTTATCAACAGTTCTGTCTTCGTCTGAGCTGTTAGCTGCCTCGATTAAACCAGTGACTTTAACCCTAGTGACATTTTAGAATCACCTAGAGCATTTGTTAAAAATGCTAATTCGTATTTCCTCCCGACTACCAGTAATTGATTCCTAGGGGTTAGGACCTAGGCACGTGTACTTTAAAAAAAGCACTTTAGATGGTTCTTGTGCACAGTGAATGTTGTGAACCACTGGTTTGCATCAAATAATTAATGATTTATTCATGGTGAAAACTGGATCTCTCTTTAAGTAATAGCAGTGTTTATACTTTTTAATCTTCCTTTTAAGAGTTCAAATCTGATTTGCTGTATCTATGACCATTAGTTCTTAAGTATCTATTTACAATGTTCTTTTTAAAGATGTACACGAATATTTATTTCACTATCTTTTCATTCAAGTAAAAGAATAGGAGATTTTGTAAGGATCTGTGCCTCCCTTCTATGAGAAGTTATTGCTGTTGTTAAGTGCTGCAGAGTCAGTTCTGACTCATGAGAAGCCCGTATCGGGTTTCCGAGGAGTTGCTGGTGGGTTTGAGCTGCCAACCTTGTAGTTAACAGTCCAGTGCTTATCCTACAGCAACATTCCAGGACTACTACTTTAAGAGGTAGTAGCTCTGAAGGAATAAACTGTTGTTCTGTGCCATCTAGTTGATTCTGATTCCCAGTGCCTCCGTGTGGCAGAGCCAAGCTGCCCCATGGTATTTCCTTAGTAAGTGGCAGCATCTATGGTCTCAAGCGTGCCAACAGTAGTGAGGCAGGCCCAGGATCAGGCAATGTTTCGTCCTGCTGTGCATAAGGTTGCTATGAGTAGGCACCGACTCAATAGCACCTAACAGCAACAACAAATCTCTTTATGGAGGCAGATTGCCAGGTCTGCTTCCAGCAGAGCAGCTGGTTGGGTTTAAACCATTGTGCTTGACCATTGTGTTACCACGGCTCCATAAAAACACAGATAACCCACTGCCGTCGAGTCCATTCGGACTCATAGTGACCCGAGAGGACAGAGTAGAATTATTCCTTTGGGTTTCCTAGACAGTAAATCTTTATGAAAGCAGATAGCTTCACCCTTCTCCCTTAGAGTGGTTGGTGGGTTTGAACTGCAAACCATGTGGTTAGCAGCCCAACACTTAACCTACTATATCAGCTTGTTGTTGTAGTTAAGCACTGTCGAGTCAGTTCTAACTATAGCAACCCTGTATAGGGTTTCCAAGGAGCAGCTGGTGAGCTTGGACTGTTGACCTTGTGGTTCAAACCAACCTTACAGTCCAGCACATTAACCCACAGCACCATACCAGGACTCCATACTACAGCAGGAGGGCTCCTTAAAAATAATGTTGTTGTTGTTGTTGTTATGTGCCGTGGAGTCGGTTCCAACTCCGTGACCCTGTACAGCGTTTCCAAGGTTGTAAATCTGTACAGTAGTAGAAAGCCTCATCTTTCTCCTGCGGAACATCTGGTAGTTTCGAACTGCTGACCTTTGAGGTTCGCAGCCCGATTCATAGCCACTATACTGCCAGAGCTCCTATGATAATAACTTAATATTCTCCAATGTATGTATTTTTTTTTAGATGAATTGCTTGAATCGAGTAAAAGAGAATCTCTTCAAAACTAGCAAAAGCCTTCGACAGAATCTAGGAAAGAAACTGGATAAAGAAGCCAAAGTCAGAGAGTAAGTAACTTTTTAAAAATTTTTAATCAATACTATAAAACAAAGCTCCAATATATGCATCTATCAATTTACAGTAGATTGCCACGTGCTGGAACATGCTTTTATACTGATTGGTCTGTGATGTTCTAAGGTACAGTTTGAATCCCCCAATAAGGTAATTATGGAGTCCTGGTGTGGCGCTGTAGGATAAACACTGGATTGCTAACTGCAAGGTCTGCAGTTCAGACCCACCAGCCGCTCCTCAGAAACCCTATACAGGGTCGGTCGCTATGAGTCAGCTGACTGAATGTCATTTAACAACAGTAGGGTGATTAGGTCACTGAATAACCATACTGGTGATTTAGAGAAGGCAGTGTCTCTTCTCTATTTCATTGTTATTCATTGTCGAAACAGGTCTGCTCTTAAGAAAGGAGCTTTCAGTGTATGGGTTAAGCAGCACTCAGAGTAATAGATATGACCAAATGTTGTTGGTTTTTCTCTAAAGGTGTCAGCTTCAGGTATTTCTTCGTTTGGAGATGTGTCTGCAGTGCCCTTTGATACAAGACAGCACAGATAATATGGAGCAAGTCGTGGAGGAGGCAAGTCTGCTACAGCTTCGTGCATTGGGAATGTGCCATAAATGCCCTGAGCTTCCATGCAGAAGGCATGTGGTAATTCTCTGTAATCTTCTTCAGGTGACAGATTTGCTGCGCATGGTGTGTTTAACTGAGGACCCAGCGTACCTGTCCAAATTTCTGGAGGAAATTTTGGAATTGTAAGTTTGAGAGCTACACATGGTGTTGTCTTAGAATATTGGAATTGTAAGGATGATTTCTCCTGCTGGCTGAGGAAAGGGATAGTGAGGGTGAAATGGTGACTGTCAGTTCTTCATTTAGCCATTCTGTTTTCACAGGTATATCGACTCCATTCCAAAGACACTTGGAAATCTGTACTACAGCCTAGGCTTTGCAATTCCTCAGAGACTGGCTGGTGTCCTTCCTACAGATTTTTTCAGTGATGACTCCATGACGCAGGACAGCAAATCACCAGATCTTTCTGTGCCTCTTTTAACCAACACTCATAGATCAGTGTCAGATAGCACTGAATCTGACCAACTGGAGGAACTTCGTACCAGGTCAGCCAAGAAGAGAAGGTAGGTGTCAAAGGAATTCCTTACACTATTGGTTACAGATCTGAGAAAGGACATACTCCAGTCCAGGTATCTTTGTCCTCATAACTTAGTGAATCAATATTGCCTTTTTGTCTAAAGCCAAAGATCATTGTTAGTGTTTAGTGCCGTCAAGTTGGTTCCGATCCATACAACCTTGTATAGGGTTTCCAAGGAGCTGCTGGTGAGCTTGAACCCAAGATTAGCATACGGAATAAACAATGAACATATGATACTCTTCATATCATCCAGGTTAGGTAGTATTCATTTTACAGTCCACTCAGGAACTAGGAGCCTTTCATGAAGTAAGTGTAGGGTTTCAGCTTAATTTTTTTTTTTTTTAATGTTTTATTGTGAATTATGTCATCATTTACATGGGAGAACATTAGTTTTACATTCATCCTATCGAATATTGTTTCATTGCCATGGTTATAATCCCCCCATGCATCATCAACCAACCAAAGGGTATATCCTGCAAGCCTGCCCACCCCGGTCTTCACACACAGCCCCTCTCCCTCTCCGGGTCTAGAGTCCCCATCCACTCCATCTCTGGCATCACTGCTTCTCTGGGTAGCGTCCCACTCTGCTCTTCTCCCTTGATGGTCCCAGGGACCTCCGCTCCTAGACTGTAAAGTTAATCACTCCCCTCCTTGCTATACAAAATGTCTACCTTTACATTTCCAACCCTCACAGTCAGTCCTGACAGCAATTATTCACTGTTGTATCACAAGAGACCTATCCGCATTTCCTTTCATCAGCCCCACCTAGACAGATTGGATACTACTCAGTGGAGAGTCTACCTTCCTCCACGCCCTCTGGATCTAGGTTCCGTCTTGAAAGCTTGTAAATCTGTCACTTCTTGCCTTTGTAGCCCCCCCACTTTGGGTAGCCAATGTCCAAGTTGCCCATCCCTGTCCACTCTGTGTATGGAGGGGGATGGGAATGATCCTTGCTGTAAAGATTTGTTCCCTCTTTTGAGCTACTGCATCCATAGGTGTAGCTCAAGTTCATCAAATTGTATCAGATTACTTTTTTACCTCTTCTTTCTTCTAGTTGAGCTCTGATCATCCAGTCATTGAAGTCAGGTCAAGTGGGTATTATCTGCAAGTGTGGATGTTCTTGTGCATATGCCCTCTCTTCTTATCAGCTAGACACTTCACTCTCCACTTTAGTCCTCTGTGGCTATGTCACTGACTCTGGGTCCAAGAGTCCTTAGATCTTGCCACACTGCTGGCCAACCAGGTCTCCATCAGGTCTACGTTCACAGGAGTCTATTGAACGTAGTAGGGCTTAGCTCGCAGCTTCGTTGCTGTTTTTCCCTCACTTTCCCTTATTGGTGGCGAACGAGGTAACCAATCAGAGCATGTATTCCCATTGAGTCTTAGTCTTGAAAGGGGGTTTGCTCTGAGGGGACCTGACCACTTGTCTTGATGTCTCCTGGGTGAGCAACTTGCTTTTTCTTGTAATCAGTCGGTTTGCCTATATTGTTGTGTATTTTTCCTGTCAGTCTTTCTTTCAAGAAGTATCTTCTGTTCTTCTAGCCACTCCAAGCTGGTCTGCTTGTCCTTTCAAGTGGAAATTTCCCACCTCTGAAGATTCTGGATGCTGTTCAGGATTCCACCTATAGTCTTATGTAATGCAGAGGCTCCACATGAAGCCTCCTTCACTGAGCACGTTGTAGCCCCATTTTAGGTATTCCAATCAGTTATAGGCAGACTTACAAGCTTTCTATGGTGATATTTCTGGCCATTCCTTTCTCTCCCCCTCAAGTGTTTATTTTATAATGGTATGCAAGGGAAACCAAGATTCAAAAGACAGCCAACCATCTTAATATTGTTTCCCCCCTTTTCCCCATTCCAACCATGTCTCAATCCCTGTTTCCCAGAGCCCTGTTATTCCAAGGTTGTGCATACATCATTATTTACCTCTGTCCCTCCCCCTTCTTGTGTATTGCCCCCCTCACTAGCTCCCAAAATATACTGTGTCTCATTGTTGTTTTGATTTGCATGTCTCTAATGGCTAGTGATCGTGAACATCCCTTCATATGTTTGTTGGCTGCCTGGTTCTCCTCCTTGGTGAAGTGTCTGTTTAGATCCTGTGCCCATTTTTTAATTGGGTTGTTTTTTTCTTGTAGAGGTGTTGTAGTTTCCTATATATTTTAGAAATAAGTCCCTTGTCTGATGTGTCATTGCAAAAGATTTTTTCCCATTCTGTAGGTTCCCCTTTCACTCTTCTGGTGAAGTCCTTTGATGCACATAAGTTTTTAATTTTTAGTATGTCTCACTCATTTATTTTGTCTACTTTTGTTTGTGTAGTTTTTAAAATGTTTTGTAGTCGGTGTATTCCCTGAATTAGTGCCCTCACATTCGTCCCTATTTTTTCAACGATGGCCTTCATAATTCTGGGATTCACATTTAGGTTGTGAAGTGAAGGTCTTGTTTCAGTCTTTTGCATATCGCTTTGCAGTTCTGCCAGCACCATCTGTTGAAGAGACTATCACTTCCCCATGCAATATATCTAGGTATTTTGTCAAAAATCAGTTGACTGTATGTAGATGGGTTAATTACTGGATTCTCGATTCTGTTCCATTGATCATTGCATCTTTGATAGTACCAGTACCAAGCTGTTTTGACCACTGTAGCCGTGTAGTAGATTTTGAAGTTGGGGAGTGAGAGGTTTCCAACCTTATTCTTCTTTTTAAGCAGTGCTTTGCTTATCCTGGGTCACTTTCCTTTCCATATGAAGCTTGTAATTGTTTTTTCCTTCTCTTTGAAGAATGATGTTGGAATCTGGATTGGGATTGTATTATATGTGTAAATTGCTTTGGGCAGTATTGACATTTTCACAATGTTAAGTCTTCCTATCCACGAGCATTGGTACATTCGTACATTTTGTAAGTCTCTTTTGGTTTCTTGTAGTAGTGTTTTGTAATTTTCTTTGTATAAGTCCTTTGTTTCTCTGGTTACATTTATTCCTAGATATTTCATCCTTTGGGTGGCTATTGTAAATGGTATTACATTCCTAATGTCCTTTTCAGTGCTGCCATTATTGGTATAGAGAAAGCCAACAGATTTTTGTATGTTGATCTTATATCCTGCCACTTTGCTGAATCTTCCAATGAGGTCTAGTAGCTTTTTTACTGTGTCTTTGGGGGTTTTCTGCGTATAGGATCATATCGTCTGCAAATAGAGTTCTACTTCCTCTTTGCCAATTTGGATGCCTTTAATTCCCCTGTCTTACCCTATAGCTCTTGCTAAGACTTCTAGCACAATATTGAATAGGAGCGGTGACAGAGGGCATCCTCAGCTTAATTTTTAATTCTCCGTGGTCCTTTCATTTTCATAACTACTTGATTTTTAGAAATTCTGATGGGCTATAATTCTATGCCAACCACAAGATACCTGCTTTGGTTGTTTTTGTTTGTTTGTTTGTTTTAATTCTAGCTCCATTCCAACTTGACTACTAGTAACATCTGTCTAAGAGTGTATCTAACTATTCCCTTCTGTTTTTAAAAGGAAAAATGCATTAATCAGGCATAAAAGCATTGCAGAGGTTTCACAGAATCTTCGACAAATTGAAATTCCCAAAGTGTCCAGGAGAGCTGCAAAACACGTGAGTAATCTCCAGCACTGAAGTTGTCGTTCTGACGTGAGCTGACGCGATACAAGTGAGAAGCAGTGACTCTAGTTTGGTTTGGGAAACTGGTCATTGAAGATTGCAAAGTGAAGTTAAATCATTTTGGTTTGTTTTTTTTTTGGAAAATTTATAAAACTATACTCTAAGGAATAAAGAAATGCAAATTTGTTAAGGGATTAACCAAAATAGCAAATAAATAAAAGTCGGAATAAATAGATTACTTCAAAATCCTTAAGGTAGATTTCTTAACAGTTCATAAAATCATAACTAAAATAAGCAAAGAGGTCATTGAAATTCAATGTATTCAAAATACTGGGACTTTAGTTGCATACCAAAACAGTACTTTGCATTGCATTATGTATGTTTTCTTTAAGGAGCTCTGGCAGTATAGTGGTTACATCACGGTCAGCAGTTCAAAACTACCAGCTGTTCCGCGGGAGAAAGATGAGGCGTTCTGCTCCCATAAAGATGTATAGCCTCGGAAACCATGTACAGGGTCGCTATGAGTTGGAACCAACTCGACGGCACATCACAACAACAAGAATGTTTTCTTTAATAACAAATTGACAAAGCCAGGTGGTCTTTGTTTTTCTGTGCTTATTAGCTGTAAGAATTTGAAGTTTTTGTTTCCATGGCTGGTATCAGTTTACTAAGTGGGGATTAATACAGTGTCACCTTGACAGCACTTGACAAAAACAGCAACAAGGAACCTTGGTAGTATGGTGTGTTACAAGTTGGGCTGCTAATCGCAAGGTCAGTAGTTTGCATCCAGCCACTCCACGGGAGAAAGATGAAGCTTTGTGCTCCCATAAAGATTTACAGCCTCAGAAACCCTGTACAGGGTCGCTGTGAGTCAGAACCGACTCCACAGCATACAGCAGCTGCGGCAGGGAAACAAGAGACTAAGTGAATTGAAACTTTTGAACTGCCCAAATCAACTATCTCAATTCTATGAGAACTACCTTTAAAAGCAGTAATCTAATATTTGCAATACTAGTTTGCTCTGTTTCTAAGTCGGTTCTGACTCATAGCGACCCTGTACAGGGTTTCCAAGGCTATAAATCTTTAGGGAGCAGAAAGCCTTATCTTTCTCCTGGAGAGTGCCTGGTCGATTCCAACTACAGACCTTGCTCATAATCTACAACATTCCTAGGGCTCCTTGTCTTTCTCAGCACACCTTACCTGTGTTGTGTGTTGTTGAGTTGGTTCCAACTCATAGCGGCCCTGTGTAGGCTTTCTGGAGAGCTGCTGGTGGATTTGAACTTGTGAGTCTTGTTGTGAGCAGTCCTATGCATACCCTACCTATAATAAAATACAAATCTTATCTTGAAATCTTGACTGGAGAGTATGAAATTCAAAAGTGGATGGTCAATAAATGTTAGGTCTCCTTTCTCACTAGAGTTTGCAATGATTCCCATCCTTCCCAGCTTTACTCTTCAGAACATTTCTTTTAGATTGGCCAAAACAGTTTTAATTTAATTTAATTTTTCTAACTTTTTATTGTGAATTGAGTGAAGGTTTACATTCAGCAAGTTATATATACTTGCTTCATTACATAGTTGCAATCCCCTCCATGCACCAACAATTTAGCTATTTCATTCCCCCCTTGTATCTTTCCTCTGCCAACCTCTTGTGTATATTGCCTGCCCTGTCACCCATGTTAATATGTGTCTACTGTTTTGTTGTTGTTAAGTGCCATTGAGTTGGCTCTGGCCCATAGCAACCCTGTATAGGATTTCTGAGGAGCAGCTGGTGAGCTTGAACTGCCAATCTTGCAGTTCAAACGGCTTTACAGTCTGGCGCATTAACCCACAGCGCTACACCAGGACTCCATGAATAATTTTCCCTTTTCCACTGCATGGTTGTAACCATCATAGATTGTTTCTACAACCTTGATCTCATAGAATGCTTGCCCTTTTGTGATTGACTAATTTCACTCAGCATAATGCCCTCCAGGTTCAACCTTGTTGTGAGGTGTTTCACAGGTTCATTATCATTCTTTAACTTTGTATAGTATTCCATTGTGTGTATGTACCAAAGTTTGTTTAACCATTCTTCTGTTGATGGGTATTTAGGCTATCTCTCTTTTTGATATGTCTTTGTAGATAACGTATTGAAGGATCCTGTTTTCTTATCCATTCTGCTCTTTGTGTCTCTTGACTGGTACTATTACTTTAATTACTTTAGTCTGCAGACTGCACCACAGTTTTAATTTTGTCTAAAAAGAGTGTTCTCTCATGTCAAAGCTAGTAGTACAATAATTAAGTGGCAGTTTTTTTAACTGAAAGGACTAGATGTTGTGTTTGTGTAGACTAAATCTGAGTGGCTTGAAGAACCAGTATAGTTCATTTCATGGGGTTTTCATTGGCTTCTTGGCAAAAATGAATCTCTAGGCCTTTCTTCCTAGTTCGTCTTAGCCTGGAAGCTCAGCTGAAACATTCTTTAAGTAACATACTTGTCTGACTTTCACTAAGTTGCCTTCCAAAAAAAAAGGTCCAATTTAAACCGTGGATTCTGAGATCTGCTGAGCTGGTCAGGGCAGAAAGGTCAGCTGGTCAGCTCAGATTATGGTGACTCTTTTGTTTTGTTTTTTCAAATGAGATAATCTCTTGAAGGACACAGGCCACTCAAAGAGCCTTATTAGGAAGATATTTTAAGAAAATGAAAAAATGCACTGGTGCATCGAGGAATTTTTTTCTATCATGAAAATGCTGCTCATTGTTTAAGGGTAGCAAGGGCTTTGTGGTGAGAATTTCCTTGAGAAACCTTACGCCGTCCACCCTACAGCCCTGCTTTTGTCCCTTCAGGCTTCTTATTGTTACCCAAATGTAAAGAACATCTAAAAGGAGCATAGTGTGAGTCACTCAAGGATGCCCAAACTGCTGCTTTCAAAAGAGAATATGTAGACCTAGATGGAGGATATGTTAAGAAAAAATTCCTTCACATTTTTGATATTTTTGCTTAACAAAGGTTTCTATGCTTTTTATAGCAATACTTTTTGACTTACTTTCTCTCTTCATTATTCTTTTAATGCCTTCATTGAATGGGTATATACATTTATTAATTATTTCATTCTCTATGAGCATTTAAGCTATTCGTTATTATTTTGTATTTTTTACAACAATTTAGCATTTAGTGTGGTATCTGTGTAACCTATATTTTTGTGCATTTTACACCTATCGCTATTACAGATAAGTAGAACTATAAGAGTCAAAGGATTTTGTTTAAGGATTTTCTATTCATTTTAAAGGAAATGCCTTAAATTTTTTCTTACTGGAATTTCTTCGTGTTCCAGGAGAATTCTCACTCTACTTTCCAGCAGGCTCCAGTCCCAGTGAAAGATGCAGTACAAGGTACTGTTTGTTTACTCAGTGTACATATCTGTTCACCAGAATGATACATTTATTTTAGTTCCATATATTCTTTGTTGCTGTTACTGTTGTTGTTGTTAAGTGCCGTTGAGTCGGTTCCGACCCATAGTGACCCTGTATAGGGTTTCCAGGAAATGGTTGGTAGGTTTGAACTGCTGACCTTGCAGTTCAAACTGACCTTGCTGGTCCAGTGGATTAGCCCACAGCGCCACACCAGGACCCCATATATTTAAGCAGCTGTATATGGCTATAAATTGGTGGTTTTGTATAATTATTAGTTAATAAAATATGTTCAAATGCCAGGCCCAAGGGAAATAAGTTATTCATTTAGTCTCAAAATAACTTGGCCTGAAATCTTTTTTTTAAAGTGTCTTGAAAGAAAAAAAAAAAAAAAGGCAGAGGAAGTGTTTTAGTGAAAGGTAATTAAGTGAAGATCTGAAAGGTGTTCAAGCATGCAACCAAGTGTATTCTATGGGTGTTGCTTGGATTCTAACTTTGGGGGTGGAGAAGCTATAAAGGATATTGGGACAGGAGAAATTTGTATCTGGATTTTATGCTAGACCATATTGTATCAATTAGAACTATCTTTGTATAATAATGGCATTGTGGTTATATAGGAGAATGTCATTGTTCTTCAAAGAGATACATGCTAAAGTATTGGGGAATATGAAGGGTTGTAATGTCTGCAACTTACAGTTTAGGGGGAAAATATGTATGTGTAAGGTGGGGGCATTTTGCCGCACTTATTCAATCTGTATGCTGAGCAAATTATACGGAGAAGCTGAATTCTATGAAGAAGGTGACAGCAGGATTAGGGGAAGACTCATGAACAACCTGTGATATGCAGATAATACAACTATGTTTTCTAGAAGCAAAGAGGATTTAAAACACATGCTGATGATGATCTAAGACCATACCCTTCAGTATGGATTGCACCTCACTGTAAAGAAAATAAGAATCCTCACAACTGGACCAATAAGTAATAGTAATATCATGATAAATGGAGAAAAGATTGAAGTTGTCAAAGACTTCATTTTGCTTGGATCCGCTATCAACACTCATGAAAGCAGCAGTCAGGAAATCAGCTGACATATTACATTACGCAAATCTGTAACACAAGACCTCTTTAAAGTGTTCAAGAGCAAAAATGTCAGTTTGAGGACTAAGGTGCACCTGACCCAAGCCATGGTTTTCAGTCCCCTCATAGGCATGTGAAAGTTGTACAGTGAATAAGGAAGACCATAGAAGAATTGATGGATTTGAGTTATGGTGTTGGCAAAGAATATCGAAAGTACTGCCAGAAGAACAAACAACTCCATCTTTGAAGAAGTACCGTTAGAACGTCCCTTAGAAGAAAGGATAGTTACAGTCCATCTCTTGTACTTTGGACATGTTGTCAGGAGGGACCAGTCCCTAGAGAAGGACATCATGATTGGTAAAGTAGAGGGTCAGTGACAAAGAGGAAGATCTCCAATCAGATGGATTGACATTGTGACATCAACACTGGGCTCAGACAAGAACATTTGTGAGGACTGTTGAGCATAGGGCCACTATGAGTTTAACTGACTCAATGGCACCTAACAACAAGGTGGGGCAAATGGTAACAGTTGGTGAATTTTGATGAAGGGTGCATGTTTATTATTCTTTGAAATTTTCTTTAGATTTTTTTTTTGTGTATGTATTGGAGAAAAAGAGAAAGTAACCAATTGAATGTGGCATCCAGGATATAAATAAGTTTCATAGGTAGCCAAAATCAGGAAGCAGGGCCTCTTGAAACAGAGATGGTGAAACATTGTTTGAAACTTTTGTGTGTATTACTGGTGTTATTTACATTAGTATGTATATCATTGATGAATAAACACAGGGGCTCCTCCTTGGTGGACCCCAATATACTTGTTTTTTATCTAAATAATTTGCTCATTGAAGAATTTACCTTTGATGAATTGAGTAGCCTCCACTAGGTTCTTCACAATGCCACCATGTTCACAGATAGCCTAGTGGAGGCTCTTTCCTGACTTTGGGTCTAGATGATCTGAGAACTAACTACTCAAGCTTTGAAGTCCAGAATATAGTTTAAAATAACCCAGAAAAGTAGTAGAATGTAATTATAAGAAAAAGAATGAAATCTGTGGAATTGAAAGGAACAGGTTCTGTGCGTGAGGGTGAGCTGAAAACAAGGTACCAAAAGGTGTATGGAGAGAAGAGTAATTCCAGCAGCTGTCCTTGTTAAGTGCTGTCAGATCGGTTCCAACTCATAGTGACCCTGTCTAGGATTTAAATTCTTTAACAATGAGTAAAGTTTTTAATTTTAGTGATGTGAGCCTGCCTTGTTTTCCTGAAGAGTGGGGTTTGAATTGAGGTTGAGGATAAAAAGTTTGAACTCATCAAGGGAGTCTGTGTAAGGAAATCCTGATAGTAATGTGACTATGGCAGTCAGCCTCTACATCATTTCTGAAGCAGCTTCTGTTTAGGTTAGTGTTCTCTCAGACATGGCATTTGCTAGTCATAATGTTTGACTTTTTTGGATGATTTCAGAAGTGACCAAAGTTCGAAGAAACCTCTTCAATCAGAAAATGCTTTCTCCTTCAAAGAGATCACTAAAGCGGGGATTGCCTCGAAGCCACTCGGTGTCAGCTGTGGAAGGTCTGGAGTATAAACCTGACAACTTCAGGAGGACCAAAGGTACAGCATTTAGGGTAACCATAGAAGGGACTTCTTGGACTCAAATCAGTCCCCTCTCCTCTGAAGTTGCCTTCAGGTAACACTTGGGAGTTTCTCTTCTGCCAAGCATGGATGCAACATTAATTCTGGTCTCTCTCATTTCCCCTCTTACACAGTGAATGCTGCTAATCACTATGGAGAAATAATATATAGTAAATCAGTATGAGAGGACAGACTTCTTGTGGTCTGTCTCCTGTCTCCCTCCTGACTGCAGATTGATATAAGATTAAAGTCCAAAGCTTTTAAGTTCTGTTTCATTTGTGAGTGGCCCTTCCTTCCAACAGAACATACAGACTGCCTCAAGTGAACCTTTTCGAGCTGCAAAGCCTCCAGGTGCAGACTGGCCCTTATCCTGCAGGTGCTTTTTCTTACCCCTTACCAGCTGTCAGGCTAGGGGCTTTTGAGTCTTCCCTGAAGCTTTCATCACATCTTTTTTATTTTGCCGTTTTAGTTAGCAATTGGAGTAAAATGGAATATATATTTCCTTGATGAATAAAGTGGAAAACATGTCATAATACAGATAAAACAGTTTAATCTAGTTACCTAATATGTTGGGTACCATGCCAGATGTTGAAGATACAAAGTGTTTTAATATACAGTCCTCTCTTAGAGGAACTTACTGTGTAGAAGAGATAAGATTGACAATAAAGAATAAATGAAGTAAAATATTCAATATCAATTGTTAGAATTGGTGGCTCCCATATGCTTGACTGACCATCAGAATCACCTGGGGAACTTTTAAATAAATGTGTTTTTGGTGAAAGTTTACAGCAAATTAAATTCCCATTTGGCAGTTTAAACCCACCAGGTGCTCCTCAGAAACTCTGTGGAGTCCTAGGCATTAGTGATTCATCTTTTCCAATCATGGCTGTGCTTTAGAATTACCTGTGGTGTTGTGGCTAAGTGCTGCCAAGTCAATTCTGACTCATAATGACCCTGTTCAGGGTTTCTGAGGCTGTAAATCTTTGTGGGAGCAGAAATCCTCATCTTTTTCCCTCAGAGCAGCTGGTGGACTCAAACCGCTGACTTTGTGGCTCACAGTCCACTGTTTACCCATCTTTCTATAGATCCACCACACTACCCAATCTATTTAATAAAGCCAATTAAAAATAGAGTAATGTTCAAATTTTTTTGGTATGACCAAACAGTTGTTTTCTAATTTTTTTTAACTTTTTCTTTTTTTCTTAAAAAAATTGAAGATTTAAATCAGTAGTTTCTAGCATATTCACAAAAACTGTACAACCATCAGTACTAATTCCAGAACATTTTCCTTACCCCAAAAGGAAGCCTTGTACCCATTAGCAGTCACTTCCAACTTCCCCAACTTTCCTGACCATAGGCAGTCAACAGTCTCCTTTCTGTTTTAGTGAATTTACCCTATTGTGAGCATTTCATGTTAATGGCATCATGCAGAATGTGTTCCCTTGTGACTGATTTCGCATGTTTCCTAGGTCTATGGATTTGCCTATTCTAGGCAGTTCATATACATTTAAAAAACCGAAGTTCACTGCCCTCATCATTTCTGACTATTAGCAACTATATAGGAGAGGGTAGAACCGTGTCAGACGGTTTCTGAGACTGTAAATCTTTATGGGAGCAGACAGCCTCATCTTTCTCCCGAGGAGCAGCTGCTGGGTTTAAAACACTGACCTCATAGTTAGCAGCCCAACTTTAACCCACTGTGCCCCTAAGATTCCTCACATACATGGAATCATATATTGTGGCCTGTTGTGTTTCCATCTTCTCTCATTTAGCATAATGTTTTTCAGGATTCATCCATGTTATAGTATGTGACAGCCCTTTTTAAGGCTGAATATTCCGTTGTGTGAACATGCCACCTTTTATTTATTCATCCACGAACTGACGGACATTTGGACATTTGGGTTGCTTCCTCTCTTTGGCTATTATGAGTAATGCTGCTTGAACACATGTATAGAAATACATTTTTATTCTGTTGGGTATATGCATGTACCTAAAAGTGTAATTGCTGGATTGTGTGATGTCTCTGTTTAGCTTTCTGAAAAATTACTAAATTGTTTTCCAAAGCAAATGCATCATTTTATATCTCATCTTCACCAGGAGGTCCCAATTTTTTTCCACATCCTCACGAACACCTGTTATTGTCTGGGGTTTGGTGTTTTGTTTTATGCAGACCTCTCTCTTGTTACATATTGCCTTTCCCTTCATATTGTAGCCATGCCGGTGGGTGTGAGGAGTCCCTTAGGTGATACAAAAGGTTGATGCACTTGGCTGATGAACAGAAGGTTAGAAGTTCAAGTCCACCCAAATGTGCTTCAGAAGTAATGCCTATCATTTAATTCCCAAACAATCAGCCATTAAAACCCTGAGGAGCACAATTTTACACACATGGAGTTGCCAAGATTTTGAATCAAGTCTGGCAAATGGTTATTGCATTTAATCATAAATATGAAGTTAACTAGATGGATGAATGTGTTAATCCTAATATAAGCAATTTTTTTTTTTTTCCCAGACTGGTGTGATTTTACAGTATTTTACATTGGTTCTTCTAGTTTGCAATCTCTTAATAGTGCCGTAAACTTGTCGTAGCCTGTTAGATTGAGTGTAGTGACTAGACGGTAACCCAAAGACCATTAAGATCCACTCCAATTGAAAATAAGCCATATCTCAGTTCAAACTGCTACTTTTGCCTTGCTGCTGCTTAATTTATAAGTTATGTTGTTTTCACATTTTAGATTATCATAAATTGCTGACTAAGAGTGTAGCAGAGACTCCAGAACATAAGCAAATCTCCAAAAGGCTGCTTCATAGACAAATCAAAGGCAGGTGAGTAACACTCCACAGCCTTCCGAACAGTCCTGTGGGCCACTGGCTTCTCTTAATCCTCGTGACTCGTATCTTAACTGTGTGGCTTATAACCAAAGAGCGTGCTGTCAGTTCTAGGTACTGGAGAGTAAGGGGTTAGTTACTCAGCTTAGCAGCAATGTCACAGAGCCCAATGCTAGAGCATTTCAAGGTTCCTACCAGCATGTTGTTGTTGTTAATGAGTGCCAGCAAGTCAGTTCCAACTGGTAGCGACCCTGTACAGGGTTTATGTCCGTCTTTTGATTCTTAAAACCCTGGAAGCAAATAAAACTGGAATTGTGGCCATTGTATCAAATAGGCAAAGTTAGGCCTAGATATAATATGTGACTTGCTACAGCTTAAATAACTAATGTCCGAATTTTTTCATTATCCACCTCCGAATCCATTATTGTTTGTCTTGTATTGTCTTCCTACTAAAGTGTCTAGTCTGTGACGGGCTAGCTCTCCGGGCTTCTTACTAATAAATGTATAAATTCAGACATGGAGTCCTAGTATGGTGCTGCGGGCTAATGCACTGGACTGCAATGTTGGTTTGAACCACAAGGTCGGTGGTTCAAGTTCAGAAACCTTATGCAGGTCACTATGGGTCAGAACCCACTCAACAGCACTTAACAACAACAAGAAATGGCGATTTATTCCGTGGTCCTTTTCTTTCTTTTTCTTAGTTGAAGTTAGAAATGGTACAGCCCGTCCAGTATAGAGGATGCTACTTCAACAAATACATGTTGTTGTAACACCACTTCACACCAGATATACAAATATTGAATCAAAGACTAAAATATAAGCTAAAACTATTAAACTCTTAGAGGGAATGTAGGCATAAATCTTTGTGACTTTGGATTAGGCACTAAGTTCTTAAATATGACATTAAAGGCACAAACAGCAAAAGAAAACTGAATAAATTGGACTTCATCAAAACGAAAAAGCTTTATATTCAGAGGATTCTATCAAAAAGATAAAAAGACAACCTACAGAATGGGAGAAAATATTTACAAATCATATGTATGATAAAAGACTAAATTCTAGAAAATATTAAGAACTCAACAATAAAAAAGGACAAAGGATTTGACTGAATTTTTCTCCAGAGAAGATACACAAAGGGCCAATAAGCATTTGAAACGGTGTTCAACATTATTAGTGCTTTTTCTGTAGAACAGAATAAACTGTCCACAGGGTTTGTTGTTAAGTGCTGTGGAGTCAGTTCTGACTCATAGTAACCCTGAACAGGGTTTCCGAGGCTAGAAATCTTTATGGGAGCAGAAAGCCTCATCTTTCTCCTGCGTAACGGCTGGTAGTTTTGAACTGCTGACCTTGAGGTTAGCAGCCGGATTTGTAACCACTACGCTACCAGAGCTCCTTGTCCACAGGGTTTATAAGGCTGTAAATCTTGATGGAAGCAGACTGCCCCATCTTCGGCAGAATAGGTGGTGGGTTTGAACTGATGACCTTCTGGTTAGCAGCTGGAAGCTTAGCCACTGCCCCACCTGGGCTCTTATCAGTCATGGTTGTGGTTCAGTGTCTTCAAGTCAGTTCCAACTCAGAGCGACCCTGTATAGGGTTCCTGAGGAGCAGCTGGTGGGTTTGAACTGTTGGCCTTATGGTTCATAGTCCAGTGCTAGTCCTACAGCGCCACCCTAGGGGTCCTATCAGTCATTTGTGAAGCGTCACTGAGTCGATTCCAACCCATAGCGACCCTGTATAGGGTTTCCAAGGAGCAGCTGGTAAACTTGAACCACCAACTTTGCTGTTCAAACAACTTTGCAGTTTGGCGTATTAGCACAGCGCCACACCAGGACTCCATGATGTCATTAGGGAAACACGAATCAGAACTGCAGTGAGATAGATACCCCTTTACACCCAGTAGGAAAGCTGTAATAATAATATTTCTTTATAAAGAACAATAGGAAATGTTGGTCAGGGCATGGAGACATTGAAAACCCCCATACATTGCTGGTGAACATAAAATGATGTGGCGGTTGGGAAACAGTTTGGATAACTAAGTTAAACACAGAGTTACGATCTAAATCAGAAACCTTTTATTACCATGCTTGGCGGGCTTGCCATGCTCATTCCAGGGCACTGTTCCTCTTGTGCTTCAAACCAAAATCCTACAAGTCATCCTCTCCTTTCTGTCATCCTCTCCTTTCTGTCATCCTCTCCTTTCTGTCATCCTCTCCTTTCTGTCATCCTCTCCTTTCTGTCATCCTCTCCTTTCTGTCATCTCGTGCACACATCTACTGCATTTGTTCGTTTTCCCGACTAAGACCATGTCCTGCCATCTCCCAGCCGCTGTCTACTTTGCTTGGGCAATTCTACCTGCCTCTTAGCTGCTCTCTCTTCCACTCTTGTCACCCCATCATCCTCCCATCACATGGGCAGAGTGATCCTTCTAAAGTACACCTAGGTCAGGTTTCCTTTTTACCGATCTATCTCTGCTGGCTTTATTCTGGCTCCTACAGTAGACTCAGGCTCATACTCTCCTCAGGGCGTTGGAACTCCCTGTTTGGTCTGCCTGTGACGCTCTTTCCTGTCTTGAGACAGGCTTCTTCTTGTCATTGAGAGCTAGACTACTACCTAAGCCCCTCACAGAGGCCTCTTTGACCCCCTCACCTAACCTTCCAGCCGCCATTACACCACTGCTGGAGGCATCGCTCTGTTTTATTTCCTTTAGAGCAGTTACCACTTTTTGAACCCACTTCATTTATTTTAAAGTTAACTCATTTATTTTCTTTCTCACCCCACCCCACCCCACTCTCCCACTTCTCTCTGAAGTACTCGGAAGAAACAGGAATAGTCCTTCTTGTTCCCTCCTCTGTTCCTAGTGGCTGACTTATAGTAGAAGCTCAGTACAGATACTTCAAAAGTGTGTTTACTATGAAAAAGTTAAAGCATATAGTGAAGCCCTATGTATCTATCACCCAGGTTAAACAATTCTCAATTCCTGGCCAATTAGAGTTCATCTATTCAATTGTGGTTTTTTTTAAGAATGGATGAGTGACTAAATGTAAAATCTCACATTCCCACAAAATGAGATCATTCTATAGACTTCTGTGCTTTTCCTAACTTTGAACCTTAACCGGGAACATCTCAGTATATGAAGGTATAAACTGGCTCTTTAGTAACAATTTCAAAATAGACTCCTTATGGATCTGTCATAATTGATTTAACTAATCCCCTCTTAGAGTCCTGGTGTGGTGCTGTGGGTTAATGCACTGGACTGCAAGGTTGGTTTGAACTGCAAGGTCAGCAGTTCAAGCTCACCAGCCACACCTCGGAAACCCTAGGGTTGGTTAGTTGGTAATGTGCTGTGGAGCCGGTTCCAATTCTACAGTCCCCTCTTAATGGCTATTAGGTTGTCTCCGAGTTTCTCTCTTGAATACAAGAGTGATAAAATATGGACAGCTATTCCTTTGTGGATTTGGAGTAGGGTCATTATTGTCTACAAGTTTTGTGTCCAGCCAGACTGCCCATTTCTGTTAAGTCCTCTGGCTTAGAGAGCTGGCTGTGTTTGTTTGCACCTGTTGGTGTGTATGGGCTGTTGGCTTCGTTGCTGTCCAGTCCAGGATGTTTGCAGCAAAAAGAAGACCCAGGGAATCCAGTTTCCTTGGGTTTTAAGGTTCCTAGCCAGACTGCCTTCTGCTTTCTACTTCTCAGAGTTCTATGATTAGTTTGTATATAATGTCTGGGTTCTAGCTGTCCTGGGTGGGAAGACTAGAGAGAAATGTGTCTACTCTGTCTTATTAAGACTCCCTATTGACATTATATGTGTGGTTTTACACACTGGTGCAAGTTTTTAAGTTAAATTACTGCAAGTCAGATTGATAGTTTAAAGGGTATTGTTGTTGTTAAGTGTCCGTGAGTGGGTTCCTTCTCATAGCAACTCCTCATAGGGTTTCCGAGGCTTTAAATCTCCCATGGAGCCACTGGCAGGCATGAACCATGGACCTTGTGGTTTACAGTCCGGTGCTTATTGTATGGAGCAGTCCCTTGTATACATATTTAAATTAATTTTAATGTCACAAAATTAATTTTCAAGAGAAAGTTCTAACCACTTTAAACAATAATGTAGAGAAAGTGCCAGCACTGTGGCTCTCTACCCAGTGACCTATGTCACCTGCCAGGTGAGAAGCTGTGTGATCAGTCCCTATGTTTGTCCTTTCTCCAGGTCCTCTGATCCTGGTCCCGACACTGCCATTGTTGAGGAGTCCCCTGAAAAGGAAGAAAATGGTGAGCCCATACTTAGAGTCTCTGAAAACCTCTCTGCACTGTGTTGTCACCTGGCTTCTCTTAAGGACAGTTTATAGGAATTGTGGCAGCTCTGGGCCCACAGTTGCAGCTCAGAATGTTCTTTTATATTGAATTTGCTGAGAAATTTTCTGGATTAGAAATATTTTCCAGGAAAAGCCTAAATTACTACTTTATACAAAGCGCTATGGCTTATTTAAAATTATATATGAAAACATTAGTTTCTCATTTTTTAATTGGGAAATCATGTTTATTGTAGATTCAAAACCTTAGAGAAGCTAATTTTTTAGAAATCACTAGGAGTTCCACAAACCAGGAATATGTTACCGTGTTAGCATATATTTGACTGGTATTATTTCTATACAAGCATATGTAATAACTATTACACATGAAAGCTGTACTTTTCACTTTTATGAAAGTTGTTTCACCCTATGTCATGCTTACAGGTGATAGTTTATTAGGAAGGTGACAATTTAGTGGATCAGTGTCTTTATGTGCCCTGTTGGGACCACATATGAAACTCCTCTGGGCCTTTCACTTCAGCTAACCAGTAACTTGTTTGGAGTTTCTGTCTTGTACTTGATCTTATGTATTGTATCCATTTCTGACAATGTGGGAAATGTCAAGCTTGTAGTTCTCCCTGGTAACTGACTGTGGTTCTGATTTTGCAGAACTAAGTTTAAGACGAAGCCCTCGAATCAAGCAATTGTTACTCAACAGGACACATTCTGGCTTTTTCTATTCTGCATCTCAGCCAAAGTCTCGAAGTGTGCAGAGAGTTCATTCGTTCCAGTACAGCAAGTCAGGTAACATGATGCCCACCTACCTTTGCAAATCCATTCTGGCTTGGTGTGAAAAGAGAGGCAATTTAACCGTTTTTTCCTTGCCACTGGAGAAAGGTATTGTAGAAAAGATGTACATATTTGAGGTTCAGAAAATTACTATCTGCACAATCCTGCCAAGACAGTCACCCCTTTGAGTTCCTACAACTGGGTGTTCACACTGTCATTAAAATGTTCAAGAGCAGAGATGTCACCTTGAAGACAAAGGTGAACCTGACCCAAGCCATGGTATTTTCAATCGCCTCATATTCATGTGAAAACTGGACAGTGAATAAGGAAGATGGGTGAAAACTGATGCATTTGAATTATAATGTTGGCAAAGAATACAGAATGTATCATGGACTCCAGAGGAATAAAGAAATCTGTCTTAGAAGAAATATAACCAGAAAGCCCCTTGTTGTTGTTACGTGCCATTGAGTCAGTTCCGACTCATAGCAACCCTGTATAGGGTTTCCAAGGAGTGACTGGTGAGTTTGAACCACTAACCTTGTGGTCCAGTACATTACCCTGCAGCGCCACACCAGGACTCCTGAAAGCCCCTTAGAAGTGAGGCTGTTGAGACTCCATCTTAGCTATTTTGGACAAGTTATCAGGAGGGAACAGTCCCTGCAGCAAGACATCCTGCTTGGTAATGTAGAGGGTCAGTAGGAAGAGGACAACCCCAGTGAGACGGACTGACCCAGTGACTTAAACCAGAGAGGCATAGGCCTGGGCAGTGGAATCACTGTGACCCAGAAGTGGTTCAGTGGCTCTTAACAACAGCATTCACTCACGAGGAATCGGTCTGTGTTTTCTCATCATTTTCTACCTTCGGGCCAGATCCTGTACACAAGTATCCCGTGTGGAGGGTGATGGCTTTTTGTATGTTCTTCATCCTTTAGCCATGATTAGCTTGGGTAATCAGATACGTGTTTTTATATTTAGATTCACAAACTTAAATTCTATTAGTTGCTGAGCAGTCAGGGTTCTCTGTAGCTAACCCACTTGTATCAAAGCAGACCAGGGGGCTGAGATCACCCACCTCTGACACCAAATTGTGTGGTGCATTAACACACCAGCTGTGTTTTAAATTTCAGCTTCCCTACCGTGTTCCATCAAACCCTCGCTGCTCATGTGACAACACCTGACCTCCACACACACATACCAGTGTCCCGGGGCAAGACAGGGTCATTAGTAGGTAACTGCTGCGAGCTCAGAGGGCCACATAACTCCCTCCACTGCAGACCAGCTGTCTTCCCCTGCTCCTTTGGGTCCAGTAATTGGAGGGAACAGCTCACACAGAACTTACCGGAGGCTCCATACTTGCAATAACAAGAATATAGTGAAGAGATGCATGCACATGGCCAGGTCTGGGAGAGCTTCCATGTCCCAGAGTCAGTCAGTATTGGATTGCTAGGTGAGCCTGTCAGGTTCTCAGAAACACCAAGCAAAAGGCCAGGTGACTTTCTGCCCCTCATCTTTGCCTGCATTTCCTAACATGCAATTTTATTAAAGTTCAGGCAACAGTCATTGCAATTGCTGATATTTTTAGTGAGGGTTTCCTCCCAGCTGCTCTCAAGAGCTTTATCTTCTTTTTTTGTATGGACGGGCTATTTTAATACGTTGTTGTTGTTAAGTGCTGTTGAGTCGGTTCTGACCCATAGTGACCCTGTATAGGGTTTCCAAAGAGCAGCTGGTGAGCTTGAACCACCAACCTTTTAGTTCAAACGGCTTTATAGTCTAGTGCATTAACCCACAGCGCCACACCAGGACTCCATTTTAGTAGTATAGGTAGGGCAAAAGTTGAGAGGGAATAAAATGTTATCACATTTTCTACTTTGCAGATCAAAGAGAAAATTCTCCTGCCAAAAGCATTCGGTCTCCCAAGAGGCTTCTTTTTGGTGCCATGTCTGAGATGACCAGCCCCTCAGAGAAGGTCTCAGCTCAGATTCAAAGGCCTTCAAGAACCACATTGGATTCTGATGTGTCTACAACTTACCAAGTATGACATTTCTGTGACCTTCACAGTAGTGTGTCCTTGGGGAACAGAGACATGAGCCCACAAGTACATTAGGGAAGAAAAAGCAGGTCGTCTATAGGTAATAACAGAAATGTGGGGTGTTCAGGTTTGTTCAGATGAGTGGTTACTGGTTATATGGGGACTGCAGGTAGCAGGCTTGATGGAGACCAGGATTGTGGAGAGAAGATGAATGACCTCATCTTGGCTTCATCTACTGTTTGAACTGTTCACTGCCCCTAGGTCTTTCTGAAATGTACAAGGGGTCTTCAAAAAGTTTGTGGGAAATTTATCTGTGCACTTTTTGAAGCTCTCTCATACAAAAAGGAGTTTTGGTAGCATAGTGGTTACGAATCGGTCTGCTAACCTCAAGGTTGGCAGTTCAAAACTACCAGTTGTTCCGCAGGAGAAAGATGAGGCTTTCTGCTCCCGTAAAGATTTACAGCCTCGGAAACCCTGTATAGGGTCGCTATGAGTCGGAACCGACTCCACAGTACTTAACAAGAACATACAATAAAGGGGAAGCACAATGGCTCCATCTAATAAACACTTTACGAAAACCACAGGATTCACAGTTCAATCCCACCAGCTGCTCCATGGGAGAAAAATGAGACTTTCTGCTCCTGTGAAGATTTAAAGCCTCAGAAACCCTATACAGTGTCACTATGAGTCAGAACCGACTTAATGACAACAACATGCAGTAGTAGAGTCCTGGTATGGTGCTGCAGGATAAGCACTGAACTACTAAGCACCAGCTATTCCTCGGGAACTCTATGAGTCAGAACCAACTCAATGGCATTTAACAACAACATGCAATAATTGTTCATCTAGTCATTCATGTTTGTTGTTAAGTGTTATTATGTTGAGTCGGTTTCCGAGGAGCAGCTGATGAGCTTGAACTGCCAACCTTGCAGTTCAAACAACCTTGCAGTCCAGCGCTTTAACCCACAGCACCACACCAGCAGTCCAGTCACCAGTGTTAGAAACCTGGAACTCTCCCCCTTTGCTTTTGTCTGTTGACTCCAGTCCTGCCCATGTAATTCACATACAGTATCCCCTCTTCATCTTCCCTGCAGTTCCTGCTCAGTTCCAAGTCTCATCAGGTCTACCAGGGACATCGCAAGAGCCTTTCCCCCTGAAGTCCTTCCTCCTCAGGGCTCAGAGGGACTTCTCTGGGCCCATCACTTTGCTTAAAACTCTACAGTCTCCCTGTCTGCTAAGTCAAGGTTTACTATTTTCCTAAAATGGAACTGTGTTTAAACATCATCTTTATTTGGAAATCCAATAAACAGCTTAGAGGGTCGGGAAGATGTGGAGTAGCGGGGACGGGTGTGAAAACCACAGACCTGGTCAACTCCTCCACAGGCTGGCGAGGTCCTCCATGGTCTGGTTCCTGCTAGCCTGGTTGGCCTCATCCTTCCCCACCTTCCCACAACAGCAGGCTGTGCACTGGCCGATGCCTGTCTGCTGGTTTTCTCTTTCTCCTCCTACACCCCACTCCTTCCTCCTCATTCCCCAGCTGTGCCCCCCCCCTCCCCGATGTCTGGTACATGTCCCTGTCATTGCTGTGTGTGCTATCGAGTCAGTTTCAGATTCCTAGCATCACCCCATGTGACAGAGTAGAGCTGCCCCAGTACTTTCCCTGGTTGTACCCTCTATGGAAGCAGATGGCCAAGTGAACTAACCTCTCTGATCTGAATTGAACTGACCTGGCAGATCCCCTCGAAAGCCACTGTTGTGATTGGACCTTTTGGTTTTTGAAGGCACCTAAGGAAGCTAAGACAAGTATGTCACTGAGAGATCTTGTCTGCAGCCATCCACTGCTTGCAGAAACATATTTAAACCCATTTTATTTGGAATGATCCTGGGCATATATGAACTGGAACTTCAGTAGCCATACTTTGGACTGCCTCCATGCATTCCATACCCCTTCTCCCATTCCCAGCACACATCCACACAGTTCCTGCCACATCGGAGCTGCTTAGTAATAAGCACACGGTGGGCAATGTGGCAGCAGTGATTAGCATCATGCCAATTCCAACTGATAACAGTCTCGTGTGGCTGTGAGCCTTAGAAGCAGATGTCCAGGCCTGGCTTCTGACGTGCCTCTGGCTGCCTTGAATCATCACCGTTCGGCTCCTAGTAGAGCCTGGAACCATTTGCACCCCCCAGGGAGCCTGAACACATGTTAAATGAGGGTGAGCAGAAGAGCTGACATGTCGCAGCTCCCTTAGGCAAAGGTCAGAACTAGCTTGTCGTGCTCGCAAAGGGGGAAGAGCTAATGAATGGTTGTGAGCAGCAGGATGATGCGATTAGAGGCATTCTGAGTTAGCTGTAGTAGGGAGGGTGTTTGTTCTCAGGAGAACAAACTGAAAAAGGGCAAAATGGTTGGTGCTAGAAAAAGTGGACAAGTAAAATCTGAGTCATGCTTTGGAAGGGAAAACAGATGGCTATCAAAGTTTCCAACTTAAAATGGTTCCTTTGACTGACTCTAAATCTCTTATTTACCTTGCAAATCATTTCCTAAAGTATTAAAGCAACTCCTTAGAGACTGGCAGCCCGGGCCTTCAAACACTGAGATGACCGTTTTTCTTTGCAGACTCCCAAGAAGAGCTCCTGGAAATCCCCAAGGTCTTCCCAAGTAACACCACGAAAGCGTCCTCCTACACCACAGACTCCATACTACACACCAGAAAGGCGGCTGGAGTCTCCTGCAGAAACAACTCCTACAACACGGGCCGCGTGGAAGGAGTCCTTAAGGAACCCCTCCTCATATGGCTGTGACTCCCCATCTGAACTGGCAGTGACGCCTCGAAAACAATACTCCCTGGCAGAAGGGCTTGCCGCTCCTCTTGAGAAGATACCAAGAACTCCCAAAAGGCATGCTGCTCAGCCACCTGAGATTCTGCAAGCTTGTGCTTGGTCACAGTCGGTACCCTCCAGTCCAGAAAGCATCTTGTGTCCTGCACCGACTGTCCACACAGGACTCCCACACCATCTTAGAACACCCTCGAAATCAGCAACCTTTGTAGGCATGCAACAAAACCAAAGATGTGAAAGTCCCCGGGGCCCTGGAGCATCCCCGGCAGAGGATACAGCAGAGACACTAAAGGGAAAGGCCATCAGAACCTCAAAGACACTAGAAAACACACCTACGATTTCTTCCCCACCCATTTCTCCCAAGGAACCATTTAATTCTGCTTCCTGTACTGTTTCCATGGAGAGTCCACGTAGGAAACCTGTCACAGACTCCCCTCCGCCTAGAGAGCTGGACTGGAGTGTACCCCAGGAATCCTCCCATGGAGCCACATCGCTCTCATGCCCTGTTCCTTCAACTTCCCCCAGAATCTCACAGACGGGTACCTCTGGCACCCTCTCCCCTCTACCTCCTTCTAAAATCACGAAACGGTGTCAAAACCCCTCTAATCCTGAAAGAAGCTTCCCAGAGTGCCAGCCTACTGCCTCCCGTGCTCCTGTGGTTGGCTTCACTGAACCGCCAGCCACAGTCACAGACTCTAGAAGGGACCATAAAGAAGGGAGCCTCTCTCTTCAGTCTCCTGAGAGACACAGTTACCCTGGGGTGGCTGAAGGGACAGACTGGAATTTGTCCTCCCCTCTGCTTATTGCAGATGACACGGATTACCTCCTGGACGAAAACGAACACGACAGTGATCTCTGGAAAAGTAACATTTCACCAGAGCAAGATGAGGTGCTCGGGGCACTGGTGACCGACAAGCCGCCTTCTCTGTCCCACCCGGGGATTCCTCCGTCTCCCCCTTCCTCTAGGCCTAGCTCTCCTCTGGAAGCTCCTTGTGGAGTGCGCTGCTTGGCAGACAGAAAGCCGGGTCAGTCTGCTGCACAGCCAGAGAACGAGCAAGCTTTAACTCAGGCTTCCAAAAGCTCAGGCGGCCCACAGACCTATGAGGTTGAGCTGGAGATGCAGGCTTCGGGCCTCCCCCGGCTTCGAATTAAAAAGAGAGAGTCCAGATCTGTGTCAGACGCTGTGCCCCTGAGGAAGGAGGACATCTGTCTGGGGGAGGACAGCGCCTTTCCTGGGCTCCCCTCAGCCCGGGCCAGCAGACCCTCAGGCAGACCAGAAGCCAGCTACACATCACCCCCCTGTCTGCGCTCCTCACACAGCACCCCCGGCAAGAGCGGAGGACAAACTTATATCTGTCAGTCCTGTACCCCAACCCGCTGCCCCCCCAGCACCCCTTCTCCTTTTCAAGCAGAGGTTGGGGTTCCTTGGACACCATCTCCCAAGCACAATGGAAAGACACCTCCAGATGTAATTAAAGACTGGCCCAGGAGAAAGAGGGCAGCGGACGGCAGCAGCAATGTGGGGAGGAGCGAGGTGTGTGCGGAGCTTCTAGGGAGCGGAGCGGGACTCCAGCTGGAGGGGAAAGAGCCAGGGTTTGAGCCCCCCCTCAGCAAGACTTGCATCTTGGGGGATTTTGAGCTGGAGGGGGTGTGTCAGCTGCCAGACCTGTCGCCTCCCAGGAATATTATCCCCAAGGCTGAGGATACCTCCTGGGGACAGTTTGGATTGGGCTCCAGGAAGAGGCTGCTTTGTGCCCAGGAAGAAGCTCAGTGTTGGGCAAAAAGAGTCTGTGACAGCCAGAGGGAAGACTCAGAAGCGAGCGTAGAGAAGTCTCCAAGTGCAAGTGTGGGGCAGCTTCCCTCCACCGGAGACGAGGAGGTCTTTGTTTCAGGTGAGCTTGGCCGTGTCCCTGAAGCTCAGCGTCCATCTCGTTTCTGGGGGAAGTGTATTGGGGAGGAGGCATTAATTAGTGGGTGCTTCATCAGGAGGCCGGGGATCTTGCTGGCTGTTCTGACTGTGGCGTCTCTCTAGGCTCCACCCCACCATCCAGCTGCATTGTGCGGAGCTGCCTTTCTGCCAGCGGTCTCCAGGCGCTGACTCAGTCTCCCTTGCTGTTCCAGGGAAGAACACCTTCCTCTCAGCACAAAGATGCCCCAGGTAATTAATCTGCTACAGGTTCTGGGGGCTGTCATTAAGATCAGAGGCATCCTTTGGAGACTCCTGAGAGTCCGCTCAGGCCCGTTGGCCAAATTGCTTTGGAACAAGTCTTAGGGAATTCTGGAGTGGTTTTGTCCCCAGTGTCATGTGTAAAGACTCTACAGTAGAACTTCTGTGCATCTTCACAGAAAATTCCTCGAAACACCCCATCTCCCTGAAGGTGGTGATAGAAGTGGTCCTCCTCTTTTGCTAGTCTGTGGCCATTAAAATCGCAAAGAAAAGTGTATTTTGAGCAACAGGAGTGGTGTTATGTTTGGAGCCAGTGTGTCCCATAGTTGGGTTACACCCCTTTTCTGGTACATCCAGGCTGGTGTTCCAGACTCAAGGATACCACTACCTCCACTCTGCCCGGTAGGAGGGAGTAACAGGATCCGTGTTAGGGGCACTAATGTGAGACTTTTCCTTCTGCTAGAGGGAGACGGCAAGAAGTGGTAGGAGGTGAAACTGCTGCCTTCAGAGCTTTCTAAATCACACAAAAGAGCAGAAACCCCACATCAGAGACTAAAAACGATGTGTAAAACTTCAAACTACAGGTGCTTGGTTGTTTTTGTGTCTGTGGGTTTTAAGCGCAGCAAACTTATTACTTGTAACACGGTCTCCCTGAACAAATGATTCTGGGAATTTTTAAGCTTTCAAGGGAATGCGGCGTGCTTTATTCTGGAGGAGCAAGGTTAGGACTTGGCCCAGAAGTTACTGTCGGAGCCCTTGCTTCTGCAATGTGTCTGAGAGGTCTCAGGGTCGGTTAGAGGACAAGACACTACAGGTACTTTGCCTTGTCACCATTCCTAACTGCTGCCAGCTGGGTGCATAATCATAACCTGTGGAGGGCAAAGGCACAGGTAGCAGGAGGGGATAACCAGCAAGCAGTGCTGGCTGCCAGCAGCCCATCTCCGTGAAACCCTCCTGCAACGGAAACACATTTTCTCTTGTAGTCTTCAATTACTTCCTGCATTCTAAATCTTCTGCCTCTTTTCAGATGAAGATGTGGATGTATTTTCCTCCACTGCTGAAGAATCTCCTTTCAGCCGAGCGTTCTCAAGGAGACGGCCCATCAGCAGAACTTACACACGGAAGAAGCTGATGAGCTAGTTAGGATGGAAATGGGATGTGGGACTTGTAATTACAAACACTACTGAGCTTGTACTGAGCCCCTGTGTGCCCTGGGCCAGGAGAGAGTGGTTTTATGCTCTGAACGTGTTAAGGAATTCCAAACTTAAACCATAAATGTATTCTTAGCAGAGTGTTCGGAACTCAGTTCATCTGACACGCGTCTTACTGATCACACACATAAGGCTGGACCAACCACACCAAAACAGGGGTAACCCAGGACTTCTTTGCAGAATTGAGGAAGTTCCAAAGATGCAGGTGAGCCAGCAGGTCTGCTGGTCTCATATGCCCTGGGGTTTTCAGAGCCCAGCTACAGTGCCTTCAGTGGAACGCCCCTCAGTAGGAAGGTTGAAAGGAGACGGGTGGGTGATGGGTGATGGTGCGTCCGGTGCTGTCAATCAGAAACAGAAGGGCTGTACCGCTGGGATTCCTGCTTCACTCCACCTGTGACCTTGACTGAGTCAGGGCCTGCTCTATGCCTCTCACCTGTGAAATAGGAGCAAGGCCCCTGTGTGGTCTCTTGCCAAGCTGCTGCAAGACGGGTGCTGTGGCATGGATGGGAGAAAGTACTTTGTCAATGGCACTACACCATCCAGGCACATAACTGAAACCGAAGATTGTGTTGTTTCCTATGATAAGACATTAAAATTGCCTCTGGCTGTGCTTGATCGAGCCTGACATTAACTGGGACCCTGGCCCAGCTCTGCTACTTTCAGGAGCCAGTTCCCAGGTATGATCCCACCCGTTCCTGGAGAGCTGTCGCCTGGCTCATGGCTGACCCTGAGCAGTTTGCTGTTGGGGCCAGCAGCCTGGCTGATGGTGAGAGCTGTTCAGAACCATCTCTTAGAAGCTTTCAAGCAAGCTGTCTTCCAAGAAGTCACTCTTCTAAATCTGATTCGTACAAGTGCCTTATAAATCAGCCTCAAAGTGAAAACTCCCATTCCTTTCTTTAAAGGTTATTCTTGTTTATTACAAAATGACTTTTAAAAATTCTATAAATGAGCTAATAAGCACCCCCAGCTCCCCATATACATATCTGACCCATCTAAACCACACCCTATTGCCCCTGACCACTTGGTGGCCAATTGGCTGAGCCCCTGGCCTGTAGGCATGTGGCTACACTTATGCCTGAAACCAGGCTTGGGCTTTGGAAACGCCAGAAAACCCAAAAGCGGTCATCAGGTGCTGCAGCTTACAGGACGGGAGCAGCGATCGGTGGGTCGCTGTAAAGCTTTAGAGCCCAGTTCTGGGTTATGACCAAAGTTTGTTGACTGGGATTAGTCTGCAGACCAGGGCATGGACCTAGTGTGAAGCAAGGACTGTCCATCCCAGGAGTGAGGTGGGTGGCAGGAGCACCTTCCAGCAGGATCAGAATCTCCCAGGTAGGGTCTGCCCAGGAACCTACAGAGGATTTTTCCTAACGTCGATCATCCCTGGGCTGGCCCTTCGCAGTTCCCTCCGGGGCTTGGACAGGGGCCCCAAGGTCCAGGGGAGACCCCCGTCAGCCCCAGGCAGCCCCCACCCCACCAGGGTCTCAGCAGCCTCTCGCTGCCTTGGCTCCTCGGGGACACCCTGCTCTTCACTGCACAGGCTCGAGCGTTTCCACGTCAGCGGCAGCGGACCTCGCACCAAGCCCCGCACCTCCTCGCGGACTCGGGGGACACCTTCAGTGAGCAGGGGTGGCCAGGGGAGCTCAGGGGCAAGCTGAGGCTCCTCTTCGTTTCCAGGGAGTTGTCGGTTTTCCAGACAGAGGGTGCTCTTCTCCCCACCTGTCACCGAGAATGGCACCCCACTCAGTCACGGTGGGACTAACACCTTCCCACCCAATGCAACAAGCCACCTGTGTCGATGACCCGCACTTCCCCAGACACACGCCCACCACAGTTACCCCTGCTCTGGCCTGCAGCAGCGTGCAAAACACTAAGCTTCTGCTTCAGCTCCTGGTTCAGCCACAAGTGGCGGCCCAGTTCTTTCTCCAGCGCTTGGATCCTGGCCTCATACTGCCTCTTGCTGTCTGCTAAGCCCTCACCAAGGTGGTCTAGGGTGGGCAGGCAGAGGAGAGTGGTGAGGGCTGCGGGCGGGGCGGTGGTCTAGGGTGGGCAGGCAGGAGGAGAGTGGTGAGGGCTGTGGGTGGGGTGGTGGTCTAGGGTGGGCAGGCAGGAGAGTGGTGAGGGCTGCGGGTGGGGCGGTGGTCTAGGTGGGCAGAGGAGAGCGGCGAGAGCTGCGGGCGGGGTGGTAGTCTAGGGTGGGCAGGCAGGAGAGTGGTGAGGGCTGCGGGCTGGGCGGGGTCTCACCTCGGCTCTGTTGCAGAAGCAGCTGCAAGTTTTGCTGGTGCTCCTTCTGCTGCATGGTCAGCTGGCGGTCCATCTCCAGGCGCTGCCGCTCCAGGGCCACCTCCAGCCAGTAGACCAGCCGCTGCTGCTCCTCCAGCTGCATCTCCAGCTCCGAGAAGGCGATCTGCTGCTGGTGCTGTTCTTCCCGGAGCGTCACCACCTGGACCCAGGACAGTCTGAGCTCAGACCCAGGTACTGGTCCTCCTCCACCCACACGGTCCTCAATCAGGGGCCACCACGATCCTCAAGGCAAACACTAAGAATCAGTGGTAGTGATTCCCACCCGACCCCAGGGGGAGTGCCAGGCACTGCTACAATCCTAAAGGTCAGCATGAAAAGGACGGGTCCCCCCCTGCCTCACACCCTCAAGCTGTGGAATTTCATCAGGATAGGGTTTTCAACCTCAGCATATTTTGGGCCAGAGAGTTCTTTGCTGGGGGAGTTCTGGTGGCATTGGGAGTTATACATTGGGCTGCTAACCACAAAGTCAGCAGTTCAAATCCCCTAGCTGGTCTGTGGAGAAGAGGAGGCTTTCTGCTCCCATAAAGACTGGCGGCCTCAGAACCCTATGTAAGCCTCCACAGCGGGGGTCTGGTGAGTTCTTGCAGAGAGCTCTCCTGCCTCTACCCCATTAGGTGTCAAAGCACACACATCCCCAACCATCCTAACCCCCGAGTGTCTTCATATGAGGTCTCGTGGTCCCTGGAGGTAGTCAGTCCCTGTAGAGGACTACTGACCTAGACAAGGGTCACCCTGAAGTTGGCCCATCCAACTGGAAGAGGAGGGGGCAGGACGCTGGTTCTAAGGCAGCCCTATGGACAAGGTGACTGCAATCCTACCACCTGCCATCAGGTGAAACCTCCCCCCCCCACAAGTTCCAGAGGGAAGAGGCAGAGAGTCCACGGATGGGGGACCCACCTTGTCAAAGTACTTGCAGAGCAGCGCTCTGGTCTCCGAGGACGAGAGGTAGCTGAGCTTGGCCATGAGGTTCATCTCACACTGGGACAGCAAGGAGGCTGAGGCCCGCAGCACCCGCTGACGGCACGTGATGGCCTCATTCTTATATTCAATAGCAGCATCCAGGGCCTCAATGGCCTCATCCAGCTGGAACAGTGTCCGCTCCTCCTGCGGGGACATGGACATGCATGAGGGAGGTACTGGGCTCCACCACCTCAGAACACCCCCCCCCCCGACAAGGAGACCTAGGCACACCTGGGGCCCAGCAAGCATGAACACTTAGCCACAATGCATGCCTTTTTGTGCCCCTCATCCTGAAAAATGAGTTTGAGCCCCTGGTGTGGCTCTGGGATAAAGCACCAGACCACAAGGGCAGGTTGAACCACAAAGTCAGCAGTTCAAACTCACTAGTCGCTCCTTAGAAACCCTATACAGGGTCACTAAGAGTTGGAACCGACTTGACTGCACTTCACATGTCAAGAGAAAGTTCCCCTCTGCCTCCAGTGGCAAGAACTTGGAAGCTCTGATCTCCACCTGAGCCCAGAGTGAGAGCCAGGCATGGCTACAAAGACGCTGAGGTGCATACAGGTGAACTATACACAGGAAGCCTGAGATACACACCAGTTGGAAGTCGGTGTGCAACACAGGCTCCATGTGATCATGTGTGTGCTGTGTGTGTGTGTCCACATTCCAGCTGGAAGGGAAATGAGGTCAGCCAGGCCCAATCCCTTTGTGCCACAATCAAAGTGCCAAAATGAGCAGCACAGCCAGCCAGTCCAGCACACTCGTCAGCCCCTATCCCTTCACCTTTCTTTACGTAACACACAGGGGGATGAAGCAGGGAGCTTGTGTTGGACGGCAGCAAGGCCCAGCACTCAGCAGAGAGCCAGAGCCAGTGGACTGAGATCAGACGGACGGACAGACAGACGAGAGTGGCCCAAGGCGTACCTCAGGCGATAGCAGGCTGCCCTGCCTCAGCTTGCTATCGATCTCCAGGCGCTGCTTCAGCAACAGGTCCTTCTCCTGGCGCAGGTTGTCAATCTCTCCACGGATCTGCTGCTGGCTGTGGGCACTGCCCTGCCGCAACTGCCCACTCTTCTCCGAGAGTTCCTTCTCCAGGTGCTCCAGCCGGCTGGACACGCGCACGATGTCCTCATTGAGAGCCTAGGGCAGCATCACCAAGGGTGATGGGATTCCTCCACAGGGATGACCAACTGCCAGCCTTGTTACATGTTTCAGGCCGTGGACCTTCCCTCCCCAAACCCACAGTCCTGAAAGGAACCTCAATACATGTCACTCAGAGAGGGGCCTGGTGGCTGATGAGGCCAGAGCATCTGAGGAGGGCCCAGAGAAATGGCCAGGACTTAGACGAGCAAGGACGAGGCACGTCTACCAAGGGGATGACGTGTGTCAATGTGGGGTGGCCTGTTGTGCGAACCAGCGGCCCTCAGAGCCTGAGTGTGAGGAAGTGCAGTTACAGATATAATGGACGGATAATCCCTCTTGGATTTCATAGAATGCACCCATGATGGCCTGGGTGATCTGGAACTCTGGGAATTTGGCACAAGTGCCTACCACTGAAGCAGGGTCTGGGTTTGTGTGACGTGCCCACTGGAATCCTGGCAACGTTATGATTCTATTTTACAGAAGAGGAATAGGCTCAGAAGCCGGCCTTCCTAGTTTGCTATTCAAATAGGAGCAATGATGCCAAAGCAAGCTTTCTAGCCCAGGTCTATCTGCCTCCAGAGCCAGCAAAGGCTCTACTTGGCCACTTCCCCTTTCTATGCCTGCTGCTCTTACTCCACCTACACAGGCCCTGGGAACCCCAAAACCAGACCCAGAGCCACTGTTATCCAGTCGATGCCCACTTATGGCCACCCTTTCTGGATAGGGTTTCTAACACGAAAACCTTTACAGGGGCAGCCAACCTCATCATTCTCCAGCAGAGTGGCTGGTGGATTTGAACTGCAAGCCTTGCGGTTAGCAGTCCAATGCTGATTGCACGGCAGCACCACAGACCCACCATAGGTAGATAACGAGGTGAACTGATTGTGGGGTCATAGCATGCTACAGTCCTGAGTTCTTGAGGATCCGTGGACTATAGCCCAGTAGGGCAGAGCTTCACCTGGCGGGGCGATCACCTGGAAGCGGGCGGAACCTCACCAGGCAAGGACTCACTTATCAGAAATACCACCTGGCAGCCTCTCACATGACAGGACCTGACCTAGTG